CCCTTGTTGCTCAGGCTGAACTTCATCTTCGGTTGGCTTGGAGGCCAAGTCGGCGTCCAAGTCATCAGCCTCATTTGCCACTCCAATGATTATTTCGCCGCCATCGTCTGAGGGGTCTTCATCCTCATCCTCATCCTCCTCGCTCTCCTCTTCTTCCTCATCAGAGTTCTTACCCTCTGCCTTCATTGCCTCCTTTTCTCTGATGGCAACCTCTAGATCTTTGACCATCTTCTTGGTGAACCCAGATGCCTCAACCGTTGCATCTAATCTTGTCAGGCCAGCCTTCTTCATGGCCCTCTTTGCGTCTTTGAAGAAGGGCCCAGGTTCAGTGCTGGAGAAGTGGAATCTTCTGGAGAAGAAGCGCTTGATGCATTCGACATCTCTGTCAAAATACATTTCTGCATTTTGGTGCTCCATTGATACCATCTGAGGGAAATCAATGATAACTGGCTCGAGGGTTAATGCTTCCTCGCCACTTTCAGTGGTGACCTTGATCTCCTTGATGAGAATGTTGAATTCGTTGAAATCGCCATGAATCAGGCCATGCTTGGCGAGCTGAAGAATTAAAGATATCAACTCGCCGTAAAGCTTTGCTGGGTCCGGGACAGCGGATATTTGTCGTAGAGGAAATGCATCAATGAGAGCCATGAGAATGGTATGTCTGGACTGCGCGATGGGTTCGGGCACTGGAAAACCTTCTGCTAACAGAGCCTTCATGAAGGCAAACTCCTTCATCGCTGCAAGCCGGGACAAGTACATCCACGAACCGGAGGCTCTATTTTTGAGGTAATCTCGATTCGATTTGACTGTACGGAAGGATATTCTCCCTAGGCGATGGATTTTGAGAACTTTCTGGGTGCCTTGGTTATCGGCGACGATCATGATGTCGCTTTCTTTTCCAACGCCGATCCTGGTACCAACGCTGTAGATATCTTTTCGAGCAGAATGAGTGTGCAACGCCAGGTAATCAAGGCCCCCATACGTTAGTCTGTAGCCATCGTACTTCGCCTCTTTGACCCTGGCGATCAACCCGACCTTTGCCAGTGCGGATATGCTTCTATGTACACCACTAGCACCGCCCTTTAGGCGAGCAATCTTCTCGATTAATGGCGTGGGAACAAGTTCATGATTTTTGCTTCCCATTTCCACCTATACGTGACATTAGTTGGGGGTTTACACTTGGGGCTTCACTTGAGCAGGGAAATCAGACGCACAGCTGTGAGCACGCGCCAGTCTTCAGACGCCAGATAGCGCATGGCCCGCGTGTCCAACTTCATGATGAAATTGCAGGGTAATTCCCCTGGATTTTCCTTTTAAATTGAAGATTGTATCTTGGAAATCGTGTAGAGAGGACCCTTGTTCCTTGGCTGGAAAAATGTTGGAGGGGTTGTGTATGTCCCTTGATGATAACTTTCTTATCGGCTTATCGATAAGCGATTATGATGTGAACGAGGTCTTGTGAAGGAGGGATGTCAATGCACGTGACCACGAAGGCTAGCTGACCCAGTTTAACAGGCGCCAGTGCCTCACGTAACCCAAGCTGTAGCAGCTTGGGTCGGTAGGCTCTATCAGCTTCCATCATCAACAACACCGGCACTCCCTTCTGACATATTCTACACCCACATCTTAGCAATAATCCCAACAGAGACTACCCCCCATCCCCTGGAGGTCTCTGATTTATTCATATCGTGGAAGATTGGAGGTAGCGAAGCTCGTTGCGACTTCGACGACAACATGGCTCAGGACAGCGACGTTCCCACGTCCGCGGCCAAGGGAAAGGGCAAGGCTGAGGAGAAGTCCAAAGATGAGAAGCCGGTTCTCAATGGAAAGAAAGAGGAAAACGAGAAGAAGGACTGTGGGTGATATCGACATTCCTCATCTCTTGCTCGGTAGCTAACATATTCATAGCCACTGAGGAGGAGCTCTCCGAGGAGGACCAACAACTCAAGAATGACCTGGACATGCTGGTGGAACGCTTGACCGTGAGAAGCTTCGCTCGCCTCATTCAAAGAATTCTCATGTGCTAATGGACCTCAGGAATCAAATTCGTCGCTTTATAAGCCGTCCTTAGAAGCTATGAAGACCTCGATTAAGACTTCTACGTCATCGATGACCGCCGTCCCCAAGCCCCTCAAGTTCCTGCGGCCACACTATGAGACCCTGACGAAGTTATACGATACATGGCCTGAGGGCCAGGACAAGACCTCACTCGCAGACGTGCTCTCTGTGATCGGTATGACGTTTTCGGACGAGGATAGACAGGACACCTTGAAGTACAGACTTCTTGCTCCATCATCTGATATCAGTTCTTGGGGTCACGAATACGTCAGGCACCTTGCTCTTGAGATCGGGGAGGTATATGGCAAGAGAATCGTCGCAGATCAGCCAACGAAAGACCTTGTCGAACTTGCACAAATCCTGGTACCGCTTTTCATCAAAACCAACGCCGAGGCAGACGCTGTGGATCTCATGAGCGAGTTGGAGATCATCGAGGAGATCCCCAAGTTGGTCGATGAGACTACATATGCGCGTGTATGTCTCTACATGGTCAGCATGGTCAATCTCCTCACCTATCCAGATAACGAAACATTCCTTCGCACCGCCCACACCATCTACCTAGAGCACAAGCAGTACACTCAAGCCATGGTTCTGGCGATTCGACTGCACGATACAGATTTGATCCAGGCTGACTATGCTTTGGTGGAGGATCCTGCCTTGAAGAAACAGCTGGGATTCTTGATCGGCCGCCAGAAGATCGCTATTATCGAGATAGAGGCCAATTCGGAGGATGAGCAAGAGGAAGTCGAATGCCTGTCGAATATGCGCCTGTCAGAGCACTTCAAGTCTCTTGGAAAGGAGCTGAACATTCTGGATCCTAAATCTACTGAAGATATCTACAAGAGCCACTTGGAGAGCAGCCGCGTCTCTGGTATGACAAATCTGGACTCAGCCCGCCACAATCTCGCTGCTGCGTTTGTCAACGCTTTCGTCAACGCAGGCTACGGCAATGACAAGATGATGTTAGTTGACGGTGACAAGGAAACCTGGGTTTGGAAGACGAAAGCGGATGGCATGATGTCTACAGTTGCGTCAATGGGCACGCTGCTGTTATGGGACATTGAAAATGGGCTTGACAAGATCGACAAGTACACTTATGCGACTGAACCTGAGATTGCAGCAGGCGCCATGTTGGCCATCGGTATAATGAACTCCGGTGTGAGGATAGATTCTGAGCCCGCTCTTGCATTATTGGGCGATGTGAACAAGCTTCACCACGCAAACCCACTCATGCGCACTGCTTCTATTCTGGGTCTCGGTCTTTCATACGCCGGTTCGGACAAGGAAGATCTGCTTGAACTACTGGTGCCCATAATTTCGGACTCCAGTGAGTCCATGCAAATCTCGGCCATGGCTGCTCTAGCTTGCGGTTTGATCTTTGTTGGTTCTTCAAATGCTGAAGTCAGCGAGGCCATTGTGACTACGCTTATGGATGATGAACGCAAGAGCCAGCTCACAGACAAGTGGACAAGGTTCCTTGCTTTGGGCCTGGGTCTTCTCTTCTTCGGGCGTCAGGAAGAGGTTGATGTTATCCTGGAGACACTGAAAGCCATCGACCACCCTATGTCACAATCAACAGCCGTACTGGCTGAGATTTGTGCGTGGGCTGGCACCGGGGCGGTTCTCAAGATTCAAGAGCTTCTTCACATCTGTAACGAACACAAGGAGGAGTCGGATGATAAGAAAGGCGACGAACTGCTCCAGGCGTACGCGGTCCTCGGTATTGCAGTTGTTGCTATGGGCGAAGACGTTGGGCAAGAGATGGTCCTGCGCCATTTCGGCCACCTGATGCACTACGGTGAACCCAACATCAGAAAAGCAGTCCCTCTAGCAATGGGTCTCATCAGCCCCAGCAACCCCCAGATGAAGGTTTACGACACGCTTTCGAGGTACAGTCACGACAACGACCCAGAAGTCGCCATCAACGCTATCTTTGCCATGGGCATTCTTGGTGCCGGTACCAACAATGCTCGTCTTGCCCAGCTGCTTCGACAGCTGGCGAGCTACTACCACCGTGACCAGGACGCTCTCTTCATGGTCCGAATCGCACAGGGTCTGTTACACATGGGCAAGGGCACACTATCACTCAACCCCTTCCACACTGATCGCCAAGTTTTGTCCCAAGTGGCAGCCAGTGGTCTTCTAGCAACCATGGTCGCCATGATTGAGCCCAAGGAATTTGTGACATCCAACTCGCACTATCTCCTCTACCTCCTTGTCACCGCCATGCACCCCAGGTTCTTAGTCACTCTTAATGAGAAGCTTGAACCTCTCAAGGTAAATGTTCGGGTTGGTCAAGCTGTAGATGTTGTTGGTCAAGCCGGCCGGCCGAAGACCATCACCGGATGGCAGACACAAAGCACACCTGTCCTCTTGGGACACGGCGAGAGGGCTGAGCTGGAAGATGAGGAGTACATTAGCCTCAACAGCACGCTCGAGGGTCTTGTGATCTTGCGAAAGGTAAGCTACCAGTTCTCCAATGCCTAGCTTCTCGTATAACCTATCCCTTTGCATTACTAACCATCATTTCTTTTTTAGAACCCGGAATGGGAAGAGAACAAATAAACGGTCATGATTGGATGAAATTCGGACGGAGTTGATGATGCTCGGCCATGGGCAAGGCACGGGGCTAGGCATCCTCGGAACTGTATTGTAATACATGCGTCGGAAAATTGGGGATGGAACCAAAATCCAGACGGAAGATACATGCATTGATAGACACTTGATCTAGAAAATCAATCGCAATCTTAACGAAGAAACCAAGCAATCAGTCAACCGAGGTCAGGAGAATTACGATTGAAATGTCATTGTCTATGTCATAAACTCATTACTGGTATATGTCCAAATCTATGTCAAAATATGAGGGGGGGAATATTGAAATCAAAGCAAGCGAGAACCGGCAAAATAGATTAAAACCCCGCGTCAGATAATGATTATCCCCATCACCAGGCGTCTGGCCCGAACCGTTGCCCCTCGGGCAAAGTCTTCCAGGGGCAGGCCTGCCAGTCGCAACCTTGTTTATAAACCTCGGTCCCCCACCAGTGAAAGTTCTGCATCAGGCCGGGATAGATGAAGCCGAAGAAGACGACCACGATGCCAAACGCCAGGCCGGAATCGAGCGCGGCGCTGAGGGTCATGGTGTACTTTGCCCACCAAGCACTGGCGCGTCTCTTGATGTGGTAGTTGAAGATGTAGCAGACGAGAGCCCAGACGGAAAAGTTGAGGCCGGTGGCCGGTGGGATCCAGGACATGGCGCCGAATATCACGGGCAGGTTGACTTTCCGGATGATGCTGTTCTTTCTATGGCGGCTGTAGAGCCAGAGCGGGATGGGGAGGAATGCGCCGAGGGGGAAGCACCACACGAGGGCGCGGTACATGGCACCCGGGCCGAAGAACTCGTTCACGCCGACGACGCCCCAGAGAATGGAGCCGTTGAAGTGGACGCGGGCGATGGGGCAGGTGAAGCCGTTGAGGGCGTCGGGGGTGCAGAGCCCCTTAATGTTGACGAACATCCAGTTCAGGACGCCAATCTGAGTTATGGAGGAGACCAGTGTTGCGACGACCTGGACGGTGAACATGATCCGGGGAGGAATCTTCATGTAGTGGCCGAGCTTGAGGTCGGAAGCAAACTTGATCCCCTGGGCGGAGGAGATGTACCCGTACGTGACGAATACCATGTTGGCTATTGGGCGGCCTGGGAACACTGCGCCGCAAATAAGCTGGCAGATGAGGTAGATGCTGCTATGTTGGTTCGTGACAGCCATGATAATGCCATTTGGTATAAAGAAGATCGCGCCTATTACAAGAGACAGTAGGAGGCCGTACCAGGGCAGGTGGATAGGGTAGCTGTAGAGATTGGTCAGCTTTTGAGAATCAATGGGATTAGCCAGAGTGTCGAAAACGTACTATTCCACGACGAAGATGCCAATGGCCGTCATAGATAAAAATGTAACCAAGTACCATGACATAGGTACATCCTTATATCGCTTCATCAGGCGACAGTGCACATCCTCATGGCTCAGTAGACCATCCACGTTGGATGTCGACCTGGACAGGCGAGCATAATCTTCATTTGCGAATAGGCCGTTATCTTGAGGGGTATCGGGCACTCGCTGGTAGACCGGCCTACCGTCCTCGCGGGCTTCCTCCAATGCCTTTTTCCAAGTCGTCCAGATATCATGGCCATGCCAGCAGGCCGTATGCGTCAGCAGAGCAGCTAAACCAGCAAATTGAACACCGTAGCTGAGCATGTAGGTAACTGGAAGGAACACACGACTGTATTGCTTGTACGCTTCTTTATCAAAGACAAAATCCGAGGTGAGGATGTGGGTGACATTATAGACCTTGCCAGTATTGTCGAAGACTGCTGTAGACAGGATAGGCATATAGGATGTGTATAGGACGTTGGCGTAATACATGATGGGGGCAATCATCCACATCACGACGACCATGCCCCCAATGACGTTCACTGCTGCCCAGAACGGCACGAGCAGGGGAGATCCAATATACGTAATCTGTGCCCAATCAAAGGTTAAAGGCATTAATCCGAGGCCGGAGGTGACGCCAAAGAAGTTGGCAGCAACCACACTTTTTGGAGCAAACCAGGTAAATATGTTGAAGTAGCTCAAAGCAGGCATTAGGAGGCCTGGCAGAAAGTAGAAGATAAACGAGCCGAAAAACACGGCGTAAAAAAAGTTCCAACGGCTGATCTTCCAACCGTTCGCAGGCTTGTTGTCTTGCTTGTGCAATGTACCAAACATTGCCGCGGACATAAGAGTGCCTGGCCAAATCATACCGCTGGGGCGCACCAGAAAACGGCGGGTGAGACCAGCAAACCCATAGCCCAAGATCTGGGTCGAGATTGTTAGAAGCAATTGGTAGAGTATGGGAGCTTCTTGGTGATAGAATCGAGTCTGTTCAATGATGACATCGGTAGCAAAAGCGAACCCAAAGGCAACATTGCTACTGACGTAGACGCAGGTGTGTTCCTTTTCGTTCCACCTGCCTTGAGCCAACCATTGGCGCCAGGATCGTGTCGACTTGCCATTCGGTGGCTCCTCGTCGACCGCGGAAGAAACTTGGCTCCCATCAACAAACTCTTCAGCGGGGTCATGAGACCGTTTGAAGAGTAAATCCCAAGTATGACCAAGAGGATGTACGAGAAGCAAAGCAATAACAGGCGTGATAGCCACGCTGGGGTATCTCAAGGAAAAGAAAAGATTTGTGGAGGATCCAAGAATGGAAAACAGCACTGAAAGGCACCACATTCGCGGGGTATTGATTGACAAGGTAGTGTCGTCTGTGGGAGGCACCGATGCTCGGACAGCATCATGGGGGGAGTTCTCTACACTATCGTCATCGTCGTCGAGGGACGCCGTTCCCTCATGTTCTTCGTCGCCACTTAGAAGAGGAACGCCATCCTCTGAGGCATCTTTCCTTTTGCCGTCGCCCACCATGCCGCCAGTGAGCGGGGCCTCTGCCATACTGAACCGACCTTCAAGGCCCGAGACCAGCATTGAACCTTCGAGGTCCTCTGACATATGCGAGGAGGATTTTGTGGATAGGCCTGAACGTTTGGATGCAAGGGTCCTTGCGGTGCTAGAGACTCTGCGTCGAGGAACAGGTTTCGAGGCCTGCTCAGCACCACTGGGGTGAGGAGTATGGCTTGGTGATGACGACACTGATCCATATGGGCCATCTTGACGGTAGGCAGGCGACGAATTAAGGGACCGTCCGGGTTGAGAAGACGATGCCATGTTGCCGGGATCGGGGGTCCTAGGCCGGGAATTGTCGTCGGCTTCTTCTATCGCCTTGTTTGGCTCGGCCAACGGCTGGACATGGTGGAGAGACGAAGCAGGGCGCTGTTCTTGGACAGTCGGCGGGGAGGCGGATGAGGTGCTTGGAGGGGTAGCGACAAGAGGCGAGGCAGTGGTATTTGTAGAATCAATCGAGAGCGGCGCTAGGTCTTGGAGGGGCACGGCATACTGGTCCTGATGCTGATCCTGGTCATGCAGTTGACGATGCACAGGGGAGGAGTCACGGCCGTGTGCGTGGGCCCCGGTCGCCTTATTGGGCTGACGATGGGACTGGGAATGGGCAACGGCGGCAGCAGGATGGAAGATGTCGGTGTGTCTGGAGGAGGAGGAGGAGGGCTCCGGCGGCTGCTGACGATGGCGGCCCATTGCGGGGCGTCTGGCGATGCTACTGCTTCATGTGGGGAGGGTGTGAGGTCACGGTGGGCAGAGAGAGAAGAAAAAGGCAGCGGCTTGGACATACAAGTTACCTAGTTAGTGTATGTACGGTATGGGAGGTTGAGGGTGGAATCGTGAGTGTCCCAGTGGAGGGAGGATCGGAATTAGGTACGTTCAGCTGGGCCGGTGCAGCCTGCAGATGATGGCGATCGAACAGGGGTGATGCATGCGCCATCCAACGCTGTGGCTGGTCCAGATCGGACGTTGGACTTTTGGGCTGCAGGTCAACCACCGTCCTGGTGCCCACTTCCATGCATTGACAACCAGTCGCTGTGAGGGAGAAAACAACTGAGTGCCTGGGATTGGGCAATGAATGAAAAGAGTCCCGAAAAACGAGCATCACGATCTGACAAGCCTCCCTTTGGGGGCTTTTACCTCTCCCCCTGCAACCGGCGATGCATGCGTTGTTGTACGACGGCCTAGTCCTAAGGAGTACAGCTCCTACCTAGGTAAGTACCTAGGCTCCACGGAGTGGCAGGCACCTATATAGGTACCTACTTAGTAACCAGTCTTCAAAATCTACAATTCTTTAATTTTTCATGTTACTTCTCGTTGCCGACCATAGTTCACTCTGTGACCAAATAATAGCTGCTTGCCTACGGCATCGGGCATATGCGCACTGCCGGCTGTGAACTTGATCAAGTCGTCCCTGTAGTAGTGCCCGTGCTAGAAATTGAGTTACTGGTTCAGAATGACCAACGGACACGATAGGCCAGGAGTTTATGTCGGGCGCCGGAAAGAGATGGCCTAACGGAGATGTCGGCTGATGCCGGTGCAACATTACACCTCCATGAATCCTGCTCTACTTCCTTGTTGTATCGGCGAAGAGTCATTCACGGGATACTGGGTAATTTCTGTTGCTCTGACTCACGGCGATTTTGGGTATTTCACCACTATCGTATCGTAGAAGTCACGGGCCAAGTATGCTTTGATTGATAACAGAAACCCCTAACTGTTTTAGTATTCGCCAATTGTTGCTGATATCATGTGGAAATTTACTTCAGCCAGTTGCCACCGTTGGACCGCTGTGAGGATCTCCGCGCTCTAATTTGTCGGCGCAGGCGATAAGGTGGGGTTGAGTTACTTCTAACTCGGCAGTTGGGCTTCTCAGAACGATTCATTCATACACCCTGGCTGTCCCAAGTAAGACCTGAAGTCTTGCTTGTACTTTTCAAGTGACGTGAATAATCCTAGGTAGCTAGCAACCATTGCCGAAATGAGTTCTTCGGCCACCAAAGCTGCCAAGCAGCAACTGCGGAAGCTCATGAAGGAGAAGCTGTCCACCGTCTCTCAGGAGTCGGTGCGTCTTCAGAGTATGCGGAATCCCAGCGTTCATGTAACGCAGCTTATGCGTAACCCAGGTGCTAACCAACACAAGGCCGGCAGATATTCGAGACCCTGCAGGACTTTCAGCCCTACAAGGATGCACGCCGCGTGAGCATCTATCTCTCAATGCCTGCCTCTGAGATTCAGACCGATGCCATTGTGCGCCATGCCTTGCGGGAGGGTAAGCAGGTCTTCGTCCCATATCTTCATAAGTCACCCTTGGAAACACCAGATACCCCTGCTCGAGTCATGGATATGGTCCACCTCAAGAATCTACAAGACTATGACAGTCTTAAGAGAGACAGCTGGGGCATCCCCAGCATTGACCCGGCCACAGTTCATGAACGCCAACGCATACTCGGAGGCCCTGACGTACACCACTCAGACAAATCTACACTCGATCTGATCCTGGTCCCTGGTGTCGCATTTGATACAGATGAGGCTGGTGCTATCCGAAGGCTTGGGCACGGGAAAGGCTTCTACGACTTCTTCTTAAATAGATATATGGAAAAGGCCGGCGAAAACACGCTGCGGCTTTATGGGCTTGCTCTCACTGAGCAGTTCGTTCCCGACTCGTCAGAGCTGAGGGTTCCGATAGGGCAGTACGATAGACAACTCCATGGACTGATACTGGGAAATGGCGAGATTAAAGGAGGGGACAAAAAGAGCACGCAATAGTACAGAGACGGAAATCCTTGAGGACTGTAGATCACCCATTAAAAGAGAGGACAAGAAAAAGGCCCACGATTCCGTCAAGCACAGCTCTCTGACCGCGCGATTCCTTCTCATCAGGGCGACAATGACCTGCCTATGTCCAAGACGAGCTATTGTATGCTGGTTGAGCCGTGGACGGGGAGCCCCCTCCCGGAAACCGGAGAAAGCGCGCTTCCGGCGGCCTGATTGTGCCTGCTGTGCCCGCTGCGCTGAGCCTGCTGATGCGTTCTCCCGCTTCCAAAAGCTGCGGTGCCGCCCCACCAAATGATGCGGGCTCCACATTGCCATCACAGGCGGCGAGCAAGGTTGGTTGCTCTTCACCAAGCAGGTGGGTTCAACGTGGATGTATGTTTTTTGAAGTATCCCACCTCCCCGCCTCATCCCCCGCGACATCTTCGACCTTTGTTGCGCTCCCGCCTGAGAATAGAACACGCCGCGAACTCTACTTCCCTTTTCTTTTCTTTGTACTCTATTTCTCAAGTCTTTCCCCCTGCATTTTGCCTTGTCCCGCCCGAGTTCAGCAGTCACGGAGTCCGCCCACGGCCATAAGACGACCTTTCCCCTGGATCCTCTCGCCGCCCTCTCAGTTTGCGCTGAGGTTCCCTGGGAAACGCAACGTGCCCGACACATACTTTTTCGCCCAAGGGTATTTGGCTGAGAGGAAAGAAAACAATCCGACATGGCTACAAATGGCGACCAGCAGGCATTTGCGCCAGCAGATGTCCTGGCTGCTGTTCTGACTTTGAGGGGCGGGGAGCAACAATCTAAAGAAAAGGCTCACGAGTATCTTCAAAGCTTCCAGAAGTCGGTGCGTGTGGGAATGGAACAGATTTCTCTGGGATTCCCCTTCCCCCCTTTTCATTTAGTGATTGGAGTTGACCCATATATGTGTTTAGAAAGAGTCATGGGGCACTGTCGTTGGCATCTTGCAGTCAGACGCAGAGCCCGAGGCGACTTTGTTTGCTGCAATCACACTCCGCGGAAAGGTTTTTATCCAGGCGACTCCCCAACGAGCGTGCTCCGTAACTAATGTATCCAGATAACCTACGATCTTGCTACCCAGATACCGCCAAGCCAGCATGAATCCCTCCGGGACCAGATCCTCCTTCTTTTACAGCGGTACGCCGCCGGACCAAAGCCGATTCGAGTGCAACTTTGCGTATGTCTCGCGATTCTGGCTATTCAGATGAAGGATTGGGACGACGTGCTTTCCTTGGTGGTAGGGTCACTGAACAACAGCCCAGAGAGCCATGCCGCTATTCTGGACTTTCTGCGGGTTCTTCCAGAAGAGGTCACCGAAGGTCGCAAAATTACCTTGTCTGTACGTGGATCGCGAAATTACCGGCCAAGCAACCACCCTCATCGTTTTCGTCACGACCGGCCGATCGTAGCAGGGGCATTGATTAGTCTAATCGTTGGATAGGAAGAAGATCTCGCAGCACGGACACAGGTCTTGTTGGCTGATAATGCCGACAGAGTTGTACAGCTCTTGATCAACTACGCACAGTCATCTCGTACGTGGCCCTGGTTTTCTTACATCTTCTACTGGAACCGACTCCTTATTAACCTCGATCATAGCTACGGCTGCCCGAAACCCTCAATTGATGGAATGCTTGACATCCTGGCTCAGGGAAGTGCCTGTTAGGACAGTTGCTAATTCACCACTCTTGGACATCGTATTTAACGGCGTGTCAAGCGAAGACTGCACCCAAGAAGCTGGCGAGGCTCTCTGCACCATGCTTAGAGAGACTTCTGACGTTGAGGAGAGCCAAGACGTGATCGAAATCCTCTTTCCTCGCGTTCTCACCCTTCGGTCCCAGATTGACAAGATAGTCGAGGAGGAGGACACGGAGCGGTTCAAGTCACTAACAAAGATTTTTGCTACGGCTGCGGAAAGCTGGGTTGTCGCCACTGCACGCCAGCCTGGGCACTTTAGGCCATTGGTGGATATCGTTCTCGAATGCGCATCTAAGGACAAGGAGAAAGACGTTATCGAGCACACATTTAATTTTTGGTACGATCTCAAGCAGTATCTCGTACTGGACAGATACGTTGAAAGCAGGGCGAATTTTGCTGAGGTATATTCCAAGTTGGTGGATATACTTTTGAGCCATCTCCAATATCCACAGCCTGAAGGCGGCAGTGAGGTAGATCTATTCGAAGGGGATAGGGAGCAGGAAGAGAAGTTCCGCGAGTTCCGCCATATGATGGGTGACACGCTCAAGGATGCGTGTGAAGTTCTCGGGGTC